GATACTAAGTTGCAAAAAGCTGAAAGATTATCATGATGTTAACATCCAGTCAGGGTTCTCACCCAGCTTCCTTCACGCGGGTAATCTCTGAGGTGCTGACAGTGAACGACAGAAGTAATCACTCTTGCACAGGTGCATTTTCCTTATTGCAAATAAGTGTAACATTGTAAAAACATTAGCTTCAAGGTCGGTCTCAGAGCTTCTGTGTTGTTTACTGGTGGCTCTAATCTGAGGAAGACTGCTCTAAACTTGTGGATGAAGGCGGAGACAGCTGAATGTTTAAGTTGTCTTCTCCCGGTAACTGAAACACTGTCTCCTTTTCTCTCTCTTTCAGCACTTAAAACAACAGCAGGAAGGTTTAAGTCATTTGATCAGTGTCATCAAAGATGACTTGGAAGACATCAAACTTATAGAGCACGGGCTGAGCGACAGCGGACACATGAGAGGAGGCATCCTCAGCTGAGTCTGCCCCACCAACCCGCACATGCTCAGACACACAATCCTCCCAAAAAAATGGTGCATCAGCCATTTAATTTAGAGGTAATCTGCACTGTAGTTCCCTGATAACCCCAGTGATATCTGAACCTGTCTGCTCAGATGATCATTTTGACTAGAATGTGCCTTTAAGTCCCCACATGGACAGGTTTATCATTTGCCCCACTTTCTGTACCAGGTAAACACTGACTGGTTAATCTGTGCTTTCTCAACTGACACAGCCCTAATGGAAAAGACTCAAAATCTAATAATAGCTGGGATCCCTTATGTCAAATCGGATTATAATTATAAGACTACAAATGTAACTGGCATGTAAACAAGTTGTGTATGTCACCAGTGAAGACATTGTAAATACATGTTTGTTTTTCTTTTTTATCCTCCTAGAATGTTAATAAATTTCATTTATTGAATAAAGCACAGTGACCTTGCATCTCTTGCACACATACTTTAAACAATGGCTAATTTCCCCAATAATCTATTCCTGTGTGGGAAAATGTATTCCTCTAAGTCCACCTATTTTGTGATCTGAGCATTTTCATTGTTTTGGTGCAAATATAGAAACACCCCACGGTCCTTCTTTAGCTCTTCAGGCCAGCCCTTTCCAACATCTCATCAAAGCAGGGCTTGAGTTGATAGGATTTATGTCTCGGATTCACATCCCGGTGGAGATGAAAGACTGATTGGCAGTTGAACTTATTAGGCAGCTTTCATGCAGATTACATCCCCTCATCTAACTTCTACTTCAGTACCTGGCAAAGAGCTAAACATCTGAATTCTCCAGACCTGGCAGCCTTTGCCTCCTTACTTTCGTCTTATTGTAAATATTTAATACCCATTATTTGTTATTATCTGTTCATCTGCCTGTAAATATTTGGGGG